ACTTTATTATAAAACAGGCTTTGTGTTAGATGATTTTGTCCGGCTGTAAGCTAATGTTAAGTGTTCTGCGCACATTTAAGGTAGGTGAGGCTAAGCTATGATGTTCAGTAAGTTAGAGGTATTCAGTGCATTTCAACTTAGCATATTTTCAGTTTACAATGAGTTTATTGGGATGTAATCCTTTTGTAAGTTGAGGCACATCTGTAGGTACCAGTCTCTCTATGTACTCTCTAACCAGTTCCATAACGTTTATGTTTAGCCTGCCACCAATATCACACTTGTTATAATAGCTTTAGAATGTGTTTTGCTATCCAGTAAAACAAATCTCTTATTTCATTTTTCTTTCTCAATACTAGCTAAGCTATTCTTGAAAATTTATTTTTCATATAAATTTTCAAATCATCTTCTTGAGTTATATTAAAAATCCTTTTGGGCAACACAGTGAGACTCTGTCTCAAAAAAAAAAAAAAACCTTTTGTCATTACACTGTGTTTAGTAAGTAATTTGGAGGGCACTGACATTTTTACAATACTGAACAGTACTATTCAATATTTGTTTGCATAGTCTGTTATGTCCTTATGTAAAATTTGATAGTTTTCACTACAATATACATTTCTCAATATTTTATTCCTGGGTATTTTATTTCTATTATGAATAGTGTTTTCTTTCCTATTATATATTCTACTTGATTTTTGTCAATGATTAGAATATCTAATTTTTGTTGCTTTTTAAAAATATATTTTATCAAAGCAATATATATATATAATGACAATCAATAAATCCCTACTCCACCCTTCTCATTTCTCAGTTAATCAACCTAAACCAAACACTTTCACATGTGTTGATTTTTTTTTTTTTTTTTTTTGAGACAGTCTCATCTGTTGCCCTGACTAGAGTGAGTGCCGTGGCGTCATCCTAGCTCACAGCAACCTCAAACTCCTGGGCTCAAGCGATGCTACTGCCTCAGCCTCCCAAGTAGCTGGGATTACAGGCATGTGCCACCATGCCCGGCTAATTTTTTCTATATATTTTTAGTTGTCCAGATAATTTCTATTTTTTTTTT